CCTCCTCTGCATTACTGAAATTATTCATGGTTACAGGATGGGCTAAAATTCAGCTTTTTGCCTTTAAATTGCCACAATAATATTGGATAACATCCTTTTATACTGTTAAGTACTAATGTTTGCAACATATTTTGCAAACAGATATTAGCGCTTCAGAACATCAGGTAATACATTGGGTCAAATTACAACTTAAAAAAACCCTTAAGGGAGCTTAAGATCAATATTGTTGGAGCAACCACTTACTTCAGACACCTAAACTGAAACGCTTAGGAGTGGCTGTTAAGAGTCCCTTGAGTCTCTGTTTAGCTCCACAGAGGTTACGAACATTAGCATCCACTCATTCTGAAAACTGGGTTATCGATGTACCAAGAGACACACAGACCATAAAGAGCTACTTGTTATCGAAGTAAAAAGGGAGAACATGTTATTCTCAGTCCTGTGCTCTAACCATTCACTTATCCTAAAATATGTAAACTTTCTTTCTTCCCTTCCTTTTATGATAAATAACTAAATGTAGCTTTTGAAAATATGATAACATACATTTCTGAAGTGTTACAGAATGGAAGAGAAGTTCATTTCTGATGACTTCACATTCCTTCCTATTGCTGAATAGACACCTCAGAATGAAGCTTGTTCTTTAAGAATCCTTGCAAAAAATTATTCCAGGCATTTTCAGTGTCTTTTATAGTAATGATTTTTCATAACTAATGCACTAAAGGTGACCACAATGAAACCCACCCATAAAATTCAAGATAGTCAAGGCATGGCTACTGAGCCTGGGTTGTTCGGACCTGTGAACAGCTATCTGGAAAGAAGCCTGACTTGTGTAATCCTGTTGTTTACAAGATACAGTGAACATATGTTGCATGAAATACGTAGTTGGTAACTAACCCGTAAATTCTGGCATCCAAAATAACGCTGCTAAGTAATGATGTCAGGCAGCCGGGGAATGTCAGCGCTATGGTACAACAGCACCCTCTCTCAGGTCACACCGAAGAACACGGAACTGCAAAGGGAATCGTCCAGACACTGTAAGGAGCTGGTTAAACTGGCAACTGCTCGATTATCTCCACCCAACCTGATCTTTCGGGGTGAAAACAGACAAAGTTTGAGCAGTTTGTATCTTCTGAAGAGCTGACGGCACCCTGCTACACCCAACATCACAGGTCAGAGCTGCTGCTGCCATCGCCTGGTGAAAGGAGGCTGCGAAAGGCTCCAGACTGCACAGCTCTGAGCAGAGCTGCCTTGACCCAACCAGGCGGGACAGAAACCTGCGGGTAAGGGCCCTGCAAGGCTGCTGCCAACACCGCATCAGTCCTTCTATGGATTCTTTGTCGGATCATACTTCCAGACGTGTATTAAAAAGAATTTGCTAGCTACAGATTAACGTTCACCCCCAAAACTGCATCCACATTCGAGATGATTCCAAAACTAAAATGAAATGGAGATTTTTTTTTTATTTTTTTTTTTTTACAGTATAGGAAGAATTATATAACAAAGCCCACACATCATCAGTGCAACATATACCAAACTTCTTCCTCCACGTAACAATCTCAAAATACTCTGCAGTCTGACCCTTTGCAAGAGATCTGTTGAGTAGGAACTACCTTTCATTTTGTGAATTCCTGTTTTGGTAAGGAAAACACTACACCCTGCACCTCCTTCAAGTCAGGACTAAAAATGTTTATAAAGTCATATCTCCTAAAATTAGAGAACACAGAAGAATTAGATTAGGAAAATGTCATAAAGCAACTGTTTGGATGAACAATTTTAATCAGCCTTAGTGAATGGTGTTCACTAAGCACTGAATACAATTAATGTTGAAATCCTTTTCCTCTCTCAAGGTAGAAGAGAGAGGCCAAGTTTTTCCATTACTGGAACACACAGGAAAAAGAAACTACAAGAACTCTGATTTGTCATCTCTGTATCGCCAAATGTATGACACTTTCCACACGCAATACCGTATGGTGAACACGTGTCCTAAGAAATAAATGTTAACATTTTCAGAGGGTCTAACTAGCATATTTGCCTAAACACTTTAAGCCCCATACAACTTATTTCCTGGTTTATTAATATTTGTACAGCACCTCCAATTGGCGCTTCAGAAACACAAACAAGCACCACTGCAACCTTGAGCCACCTTGTTACAGAACAGAAATAGATTTTCTGAAGGTCACTCAGGAAACCTCTGTCAGAGTGAAGAATAAAACTCACACTCACGTTTTTATCCATAACCCTGTCCTCCATAACCCTAAATATTCCAGTCTAATCTAGACTGAATGTTTGGTTCTAATTTTAAACATTACAATTCTCTCTACATCCATTCACAATGTAGATGATGTTTTCACCTTCTTAGCACTATTCTAACTAATTGGTTTTACGTGTTTTAGTGAGACTGTTAATGTGGTTGGTTTTGACCTAGTTTTAAACCTTGTTCTCTTCTCTCATCCCATTGTTCAATTTTTTTTAAAAAAAAAAAGCACAATTAAGTAATACCAAAAAGAAATCAATCAAATAAGACGAAAACAGTAGACTAAAATTTATTTCCCCAGATGAAATATTGCCCTCCTTCCTGAGACAGTACTGTTGGCACGCTTTGTATTTTGATGGCAAAACTAATTTTACTAGCTAAGTATTTTAAATTGCAAAGGGAACCAGATGAACTAACATACTATGAAAGAATAATTAATGATTTCATTGCTCATTCTTTCTAACTTGCATTGTTCACTACAGCTGCTTATTTAGCTCTGTTCAGTTGCTGATTTGAGAATTTCTTTGCAGCCTATTTCAGGTTCATTTCAACTCAGGTTGTGGCAGATAACCCCCCATTTACACTGCAAATGCTTCTGTCCTGACACATCTTTCCCTACAGTGCAATTCCACATATTAATGCGATCTCTTCAAGCAACTGTAACATAGTCTGATTCTCTGCATGCTGGAATATATGAAAGGTGTGCTCCGAAATCCCTGTTCTTTAAAGTGGTTGAACCTGTGAAGTATCCATCCTTGGAGATATTCAATACCAACATGGTCCCAAGTAACCTCTCTGGCTGAACCTGCTTTGTGCAGGGGGTTCAAATGGCAATAGCTAGCATTTCTATCCTCAACTATTCTGCAATATTCCATTCAAATACATTTGATCAGAAGACAGACATCAACTGTCATAATCTGTTGTGAGCCTCCTAAATGATAAAACACTTTGCGTTAGTGTATTTCAGGGAAAATTCAGGACTCTCTTGCACCTTCCAGGTGATTAAACACTTGGGAAGACTTTCTAAAAATCTTCATTAAGTAGATTGAGGTATTATACAAAAATCCAGAAGATATATGCACAGATACAGAATTGTTGTATTTAGTATTTAGGGATACATAAGTGATTTTTCTGCTTCTGAGCTAGAATTCTCATACATCTCTGAACACACCACTGATTATATGTCTGTACTGCATTTTATGGGATGCTTCAAGGCTGCCTCAAACCCACTCTTCTGCCCATACAGACAGGGAAAACAGCTATGATTGAAGGATGCCCTCCAAACCAGACACTCTGCATGTCTACATAGATGCAGCAGCTTTGTGTAGTCAGGTTGCACAGCACAAGCTCAACAGATGAGATTTCTATTTAAGAGTCATAGAGGCTCACCAGCAAGAAATAATTGCTTAAAAAATTCTTCAATGCTCACAGAATTCTTTTTAGAATCTGCCTAGTTTTAATTCTTGCGAGCCATCAATCAAAATAAAACCGGCATACTGAATCTACTTCTGTCAAGGCTTTGCACAACAGAAACTTGTGTGTTTTAAGTAGTTTTGACACTGAAACCACTTTTTGAGTTCTTTCTAACATTCCCCAAGTGACACAATTCTGCAAAAGAAAAAGGGAAAATACCACAAAACAGACTTTGATAGTGTAATTCTTCATTGTTTCCGATTACGGCTCTCTCTTGCAGACAGCTTACTGTGGATTGCTGATGCTTAACTAGGGAGCAATTCTGCTGCAGTCAGTCTGCACCGTGCATTGTTTTCTCACCGTTTTCTCACAGTTCAGCCTCTGCATGAGGCGCAGCAGACTTGACTTCGAGTGATACGTGGTACAGGGTTACGATGTGGGACACCCACGTCCGTGGCCCCAGGGCACTGCAGGAGCACGGCTCTCCCAGACATGGCGGGTTATTCGAAGGCCACTGTGGTATCTTCGCATCACCTCAGCAAGGAGGCCAGAAACTCCCCTGCCCGCCCAAGACACCCAAGGCTAAAGGGGCTCTTGAGGCACAAAGAGCCTCTCAAACATCCCAGATCTCTGCAGAGCCTCACACCCCTGGGCTTATACTTGCAGGCACACGCTGCGGGGAAAGTACAAACATCAGACTGTGACACAACTGGACAGAGCTCAGGTTCCAAAGACAACCGGAGATTCAGTACTTTAAAGCGCCTCAGGCTGCGAGGCGAGCTCTGGTCGAGTGTTGCTGGGGGAAGGGAAAAGCAGCATCTTCCAGGCACACAAACTGACACAACGCGGCAAACTCCAACTAACCGACGCCCACCAGGCCAAAATCCGCCAGGGCCCGAGCGCCTCCCGCCCACAGCGCGCCCGCCGCCATCTTGTGGCCCGGCAGCCGCCCCGGGACTCCATTTCCCGCGGAGCCCAGCGGCGCC